GGCTCGGCAGCTGTCAGGGGACCGAGCTGACCTTCGCGAGCAGGGAGTTTCAATTAGCCGCAGATCAGATAAGCGGGCGGGCCCGTCTCTCCGGGCACCGCGGGGGCGCAGCCCCGCCCCCGCCACGCCGCGCCAAACGCGCTCCAGATGGGAACAAAGATGAGGACGCAGCTCCACCTGCCTCCCCGGGGAGGGGGGAACAGGAGGCCCCGCCGGGAGAAGCTTCCCATCGGAGAAAAGGGTTGCTCACCCTCCCCTGCCCATCTAGGATCTCATTCCGGAGCAAGGGGTCTAGCCAAGACAGTCTTTGCAACTCCTCTTGCCTCTGGCGCAGCAGAGAGGTACCTGTCACGCTGACCTCATCCCTAGGCGGGCATCGTGCCCTCCCTCCCCCAGAGAGATGCTTTTGCCATCTCTGATCTCATCCAGAGCGCTCCCTGTGAGGCTGAGAGAAGCAAGCAAGAGCCCAACAGAGAAAGGAAACTGAGGTAGAGAAGGGCTGGACTTCCTGGTCCAGGTCACACCAACCACATTTTTTCAGATGTTTGAGTGCCTACTAAGTGCCAGGTGCTGTTCAGACTATGAGAACATCAGCCCCATAGAGCTTACATTCTGATTCAGGGAGAGAGATCATAATCAAATAAACAAATAGTTTAACAAGATCATTTCAGAATTTCTGAAAAGTCATGAAGATATTAAAATAGGTCATGTGAAGGCTGACTTCAGGGAGGCTACCATGTTAGCTACGGTAATCAGGGAGGGCCTCTCTGAGGGGGTGATATCTGAACTGAGACCTGAAAGACCAGGAGGAACTTGCCAAGCAAAGGAGAGGATGTGCAACATGCCACAGTGGACATGCCACCGTGGGCGCAAAGGGAAGCAGATAGAACAGGGCTTTGCAGACCAAGTGAGTGATTGGGTTTTTGAAAAGTGCAAAGGGAGCCTTTGGTGGGTTCTAAACTGGGAGTGACATGGTCTGACTTAAATTTTTAAAAATCCCTCTGGCTACTGTATAGATTAGAGGAAAGCAAAGGTGCAGGAGGGAGATGGGGAGGAGGGACTGGAGGGAAAAAGGGGGTGGAAGAGGGCTTACAGGATTAGTGATATATTTTGGCAGATGAAGTGGATGTGGGGGCGAGGTGGAGCAACAGAAACTTGGTGAGAGAGGAAGGACTTAAACGTAGGTCGGCCTTTGGGAGCATGGAGGGTCTGCTTAGAGGTGAAGAGTAAAGCTATGGAGTAAGAATGCCAGGGTTCAAATGCTAGAACAGATATTTTCTAGCTCAGTGACCTTGGGCAAGCACCTCTATCAATTTCTTCAAGTATTTTAAAAAGAAAAGGAGATTGTCACTATAAGCTTTGAAAAGGATAATATCTGAAAGGTATTTACCAGAGCCTGGTAAAGAGTAGGTGCTCAATAAATTTGGGCTATTATTTTGGATGTTGCGGCTACTCCCCCTCTCCCCCTATATCTGCCTTTTTGTACCAGAACCATCCCCTGGCCTTCCCACCCCACCTCTGGCCTTGTTTTCATTTGCTGAGGACAGAAGCTCCACCTCTCATCTCCTCCCACCCAATCTTTCTTTGGAAAGGCAGTTTGGGGGGGATCATTGCAAAGGGACTCACCCAATCCTTGTTCACTAAACTGACTGCGGGGCTCCCTCCTCGTCCAGGACCCCAGAGGAGTCCCTGCCTGCCAGAGGAGTTGAGAGCATTCAGCTACCATTCATTCAGTCAGTTGAGTGGCTCTCCAGGCAAGTCTGTGCTGAGTACGGAGAAAAGCAAACCCAGGCCCTGCTCTCAGGCAGCTGCTTGGATGACTCTTTGGTTAGGGCATTTTGTGCTCTAGGGCAGGAGAACATGGAGGGGCTCCTTTGGAGAAGCAGGAACTACAATCGCTCCCATTTATGGAGCCTCTGCCCAGCGCCAGTCACCATGCCCTGGTACATGTCATTGAGTCCTTACAACCACTCAATGAGGTCTATTATTATTACTAGTCTTAATTTATGAGCAAATAAACAGAAACTTCCAAAAATGAAATGCCTTGCCCAAAATCACACAGCAATTAAGAGGTGGAGCTGGGAATCTAATCCAGGTCCTGCTGAGGCCAAAACAGGAGAATTTAAACATTCTATTATCTGGTCTCATATTCTAATAAATGCAAGGATGTCTCTGAAATTCCTGTGGTGATGGATCTTGCCCTTACTTCCCTCAACTCCCCTATATGCCTAAGGCTTCATCTGAATCCTCAGGAGCCCAGCTTGGTGCCATGTATACAGTAGGTACTCAAGTACTGCTTGAATGGAGCTTCCTCTTGACAAAGTAGTGTTGATGCCTGCCTGAACCTTGACATTTCCCCTTGGGTCCTGGGGCCCTTATATCCCATTTCAGAGCCTGTCAGTGCTGTTGACTAGAGAGAGAGAAGTTCTAGTTTGCATAATATTTGCATCTGCTTTGCATGCTGCTCACATAACATCAAAATGCACAAAGGCCTAGGCCTGGTACCCCATTCCCCCTCTTGGCCTCTCCCCTCCACAACCTGCTGACCCCAAACAGGGGGTGAGGGTTTTTGGGAGTACCCATTTAGGGTC